AATTGTTAAAAAAAATTATAATTTGATGCCCCTTTTTTCCTTAACAATTTACTATTTGTCCTTCGTGTGATGCTCATGTTGCATTGTTCAGCACTGCTTCAGGATTACAGGAAGAAGTTGGAGTAAATCCTTGTGTTTGGCTTCAATTTTTTGGTTTGGATATCTACCCAAAATATAAACTGACTGTTGTACAAGGGAAGTTCCATATTTGCGAGATAATTTTCTATAATGCAGAACTGTAAGAATAACCCTATAACCATCTTTACAACCTGATGTTACTTAATAATAAATAATGAGTTACCTATACAAGAAGATTTAAATGCTTAGCTTTTCATGTCTTAGTTAGAAATTGATGTGTGATTTCAAGGCTCGTACTTACTTTTCATTATCCTGCTTTTTCTCTCAAAGGCTAGAGATAATCATTCAAGGAAGCTCTTCATAGTTATGTAAATGTTCAGAATTTTGTTGCTACTGATTATTTACCTCTGTTTGCATGATGTTATGTAAGTGATTCTCTTTTTTTTTCACGTCTAAAAACTGCAGATATTGACTGTGAGATGAAATTGTCATTGTTCATAATTTAAATGTTTGACACAAGGCCATTCTCTTCTTTTTTTTTTCCACGTCTAAAAACTGCAGATATTGACTGTGAGATGAAATTGTCATTGTTCATAATTTAAATGTTTGACACAAGGCCGGAGCCTAGAATGCTAGCTTCTTAATGCTACTTCACGGGTTGCCATGTCGATGTTTCCCCTTTTAGACGGAGATGGTCGTGTCAAAGGTGTCAGTGGCAAGGTTCTTCGCCATGTCAGGCCTCTCCTGTGCCTACCTCATGAAGATACGCCGCCAATACATTGAGTTTCCACTGGTTATACTTCTTTACCGATGTAAAGTAGTTAACTGATGGTTTTTTTGTATACTCTTTGGGAAGCCATTGATCTGGTACTACATAGATTGAGGACGAGCTGAAGAAAATGTGAGCCATGGGAGGAGAGATTTACTGGAGCAAGGTGAGCAACGGTGGCAGCGACCAGATAGGAGACGCCGGGAATGAATGTTTTCTCGTTCTTGGTGCTTTGGCTGTTGTACACTAAAGTGGATGGGAGATCTGCAAGTTAAAGTAAATATCATGGTATTCCTCTCACGCACCTTGTTGCATATACCCTCATAACCTCTGCAGCTCTGCCTTTACCGTTCGTTGTCTTCTCTATTCCTGACAAGCATCGACTTTTCTTTCACTTCCTTGCTTGTATATGCATGCTATGATGTATTGTAATATGGATTGGATTTCATATACATGTACTATATTGATTTTACGTGTTACACACATGGCTCTTGGTCGTGTTCTTCTGATCTAACGGCTCTGCTTCTAATTGTAATCGATACGACAACATTTCTTGTTCATGCTGTAACTATGATCATGCTTCAAGTAATTTTATTTACTGATGTGAATGCACTCATGATCTGTGTGGCTTTGTGTTAAAGTGTTCCAATATTATTTTTGTGTTCTTATCAAGTAGGTAGTTCTGTGTGTTTTTGTATTTTTTATGGCAATTTCTTTGACCTGGTGGATGATTCAAATCCATATAGCTTCTGAGGTGATGGCAGTCTTCGGCGGCATTTTCATCTGTATAAGTTCAAATGTCTTTCCTATAGAGAAATAAAATGCAGTCCACTTAATTTTCAGAATGACAACTCTTGGTGACTACTATATGTGAATTACACATAATCCTTTGCAATTTTTGAATAGTTAACACAAGGTATTCGTTCATATCCTTGATTGTTCCATTGTGATGGTACTCGCATTACTGTCTGTTTGCAGATATATTCTTTTATGATTTGTTCATAATAATTTCTTGAGGACAACAATTTAGGTGGAAGATATGCTACAGACTAGGTGGTAATAATGCCCATCATTTACAATTGCAAAAGTCTTAATAAATGTCTTGATAATCTCAAATAATAAACTACTGATTATTTTTCCCGGCATTCAGAAATGCATAGTGAGCTATATGTCTTTACCCCAAGTAGTCTCAGAGCATGCTTGGATACGTTTTAGTCCCATGACTAAAAGTAGTGGGACTAAAACTTGCTAGTCTCACCCATGCTTGGATCCAAGTACTAAAGAGACTAAAATCTAGTTGTTGAGCATTTATTATCCTCCAAACCCTCCAATCCAAAACTAAGGAGAGAAATTAAATGAGGAGAGAGAGAGCTAATACATATTTTAGTAGGTTTCCCATGACTAAAAGATTTTAGCCTCAAGACTAGTCCTAGCCTCTCTTTAGTCAGGGGTGCTTGGAACTTTAGCCTCTAAAAGAGACTATTTTTAGTCAGACTAAAAATAGTCCCTTGTATCCAAGCACCCTTTCAGCCATAAGGCTCGGCTACTAAAAGCAAGAGCCCGATCTCAAAAAAAAAAGAGAGCAAGGGCTCCGATCAACTGTATGGATCTCAAACCATAAAAGAACATTAAGGATTTGCACGTATGTCCTCACACTGATTATGAGATTATGAAGTGAATTGAATTATAAAAGGACATTTCAACTTGTTTCTTTTCTCGTCAGATTTTTTTCCGGGAGTTTTTAACTTACAAGAATCATGCCATCTACAATGGTATGTGTGAAACTATGTCTTCTCGTAAAGATAGATGTACTCTTTTTATCCTTTGAATAAAGAAAAATAAGATTCATATTAAAATGTACTCACTCCGTACTTGTTGCTCAAGCGGATGTATCTAGCACTACTATTTAGTGCTAGATATATCTGTTTGAGTGCCAAGTAAGTATCTAGCACTATTTAGTGATAAATATATTCGTTTGAGCGACAATTAATTCCAAACAAGAGGGAGTAGGTTTGAATAGCTATGTCATATAATTATTGTTGGTAAGATTGGTGGTTACCTTGTGGTTGTAACCGCGAATCAAATAGAAGAGTGCCTGAGCGAGGCGATGGCGGACGCCGCGGGGTCACGTAGGTGGCTGCGAGAGGACGTGGACGGACTGCGCGGGTGGGCGCTACAGGCGACTGCACAGGCAGCGGCGGGCGCGGGGACACGACACTGCAGGACGCGGGCGCCGCGAGCAAGGTGTGGTGAGCGAGCGCTGCTGGGCGGGGCGGGACCTGCGGGAGCGGGGCGCAGCCGAGCTGGAGGGCGTGGCAGGGAGGGAGCTATGGGCAGGGCGCGGCCGAGCAACAGGGCATGACGGGGCGAGCTGCGGGGCGAGGCGGTGCCGCGGGAGCTCGCAGTCTAGGTGTTCGACCGAATGTCGGGGTGAACATGCCATAAAATGCATCCGGACCCGTTGGGCGCACCGGTTGATCCAGAAGAAAAAGCAAACACGAACAGGCGGACGGGCAACCCAACCGGATAAAAAACAGACAAAACATGCATCCGTTCGGGTCGCCACGTTGAAGTTGCTTTTAAATGATTCAAGAATATCATCAATCCTGATAGTAGAGGGGATCGGAGTTAGGGAGGCGTTTTGTTAACATTCACATCTGATTTTTATTTATTAGTAAATAAGGGCGGATTAACATTATTTTCTCTTGTTAAAGTATTTTTTAACTCGTGGCAACGCACGGGCACTCAACTAGTACATGATAGTGCTGAATGGCGACCTTCTACGTCCGTGCCCGCGGACTGATCCTCCTGTCTACGGGCAGATGCGAAAATAAATTTACCGGTCGATGCCAAAGATGCCCTAGCAATGGGAAGGGAAATCCCAAAGCTAGGTCGCTCGTGGAGTCCATATCGTTTCAGCTACCTAGCTATGGGGCCCAAAAAAAGTGTCGTTTTTTCTTTTTTTTTAACTGAAAAATTTGTGGGTCTTTGGGTTAAGATATGAACGACCGTGATAAAATCCCGAAAGCAACTCGTGCGTTACCACGATCCAGGTTTTGATGTTTCAAAAACAAACAGAAGACGCGCACGTGATAGGAGCATGGCACGGGACTCCATGGCTGAACCCTGAGCATGGATTAGCAGAGCACTCACAGTACATCGGACTGTTTTTTACCGCAAGACCACACGGTGGCGACCACGAGCCGACCTGCCATAGATCCTGGCTTTTCTGAGCCCTTTCCTCGGTGGTGCGCCCCCGACGAGCTCCCCTCCAACGGTCAAAAAAATAACTCCGGCGCAGCCACCGAAACAAACAAAATTTCATCAAACAATTTGAACGCCCAGCCAATGCCGTGCTACCGCAGCAGCGGCACAAGGCCCGCACCACCCGCGTCTCCCAACCACGCATACACCCGTCCCACCGTGGACCAACCCCAACCTCCACACCCAGACCCACTATACAGCGAGACGCGGTCCACCGGACCGGGTCCATCCAAGCAAGGATGGTGCTCTCGTGCCGTCCCCTCACTCTGCAAACCGCAGGGATCGAGGCAGCAGCAGGGCCCCCTCCCCACGCCACGCCTCCCGTTTCCCAGGCCACTTTCCCGAACCGACGCGCGTCCCACCGAGATTTACCGTCCGGCAGGCGGGGCCCGCATCCCGCGGGCCCATCTGTCAGTTGCCCGCTGACCGCGATCTCGCTGGTCAAGCGAGAGGGAGAAACCCCCAGGCACCTCTCCGTATTTTGAAACTTCGAACGGGCGCCCGCAACGCGCGAATTTACCGGGATGCCCCTCGTGGCAGAGACGGGCAAACCGAGGGGGGCTTGCCACCGGTGTCAGTTCCGTGAATCTCCCTCCCCACCAGGGGCTTGGAGTTTCGCTGCCCCCTCTCAGTTTCCCGCCTGAAACCCTCGCCATCGGCCCCACGACCCACGCCTTCCAACTGTGCAGACCAGTTCCCCCGTGGACCAGCGCGAGACCTACAGCGCGGCCCACCGCTCAGCGAGTAGAGTCCACTGGACCGGGTGCATGTGAAAAATTGGCCGTACCACCCCACTCTGCAGGGTTTCAGCAGCCCGTGCCCCCATTCCCTGCCAACTTCCCCGAGTCACCGCGACTTGCTGGAGTATTCCTCACCGACATGTGGGGCCATGATCGTGGTGGACCCTAAAGTCAGTGGCCGGTTCTGGCACCGTGCGCCGTGCGTGTATCTCGGCGAGCGAGGACCCCAACCCTTCTCCCCCTCGGTAAAAACACGCACAGCACCCTGCGAAAGCCCTCTTCCTCCTCCGTCGCCGCCGCCACTCCCCCTCTCCTCCACCACCGCCGCTCGCCGCCGACTCCGCCGCAGCAGGGGCTGCTGCATGACGCCTCTGCCCCACCGACAGTCGGCGACGTCCGCGCCTGTCGCCGCCGCGGCCGAGATGGTGGTCGCCGTGGCGAATGGGGCGAAGAGGGAGGCAGCCGCCGCCGCCAACACCACCGCCGCCGCCGCCGCCGACGCAGATTCTCCCATCTCCGTCCTGGAGGAAGAGGTGATTCGCTATTAAAACCTTCCGATTTAATACAGATGTCTAGGTGCATTCCATTTCCTATTTCCCCCCCTTTTTTCCTATTGAAAAAAACCCCCCATATCCTTTCGTTTCTTGATGCGATTTGTGCATCTTGTTTCTTGAGGTTCTCGATCCTTTATCCTGAATCTGATTATTTTCTGCAAAACTAGAAAATGTCCGGATCCAAGGATGGGAAAGCGGGCGAGCTCAAGGCCAACGGCGGCGAGGCGCACCCCATTGCGGAGGCGCTGAAAGCTGAAGAAGAGCTACTGAACTCCGTCAAAGACGAGACATCGGTTGAGCCGCTGGATGCGACTTCTCCTCTGCCTATCGACCTCGCGGCCAAGAACGGCGACACCTCTTTAATCACAGAGGTGATGACGAAGGAGGAAGAGGAGATGTATCAGGCCCGGATTAAGCTAGAGGAAGAAGAGGAGGCCAGAAAGAGAGAGGAGGCCGCGAGGCAGGCCTTTGACCCGAATGCAAAGTTCAGCAAGCTGGATGAGCTGCTGACACAGACACAGCTCTATTCTGAATTTCTCCTTGAGAAGATGGAGCAGATCACAGATGTACGCGTCTACCACTCTCTGATGACCATTTTAGGTTTCTTGCTTGTTATTTCCCCTTCTTTGCTAATTGTGATGGTGTGGCCTGTAGGTTAAGCCGACTGCTGTTGAAGTTAAAGATGAAGAGGAACCCGTGGAAGAGCAAAAGAAAGGACGTGGCAGGAAGAGGAAAGCGGCGAACAAGCCACAGTACAATGACGTGAGTTCGGACTTCATATATTACTATCCTCTGCTTCATAGATACTTCGGTTGTCTTCTAGATTATGCAGATGTCTTGCTTGTCATATACTTTTGCTTACTGCAGTATGATGTGTAGTCTGGATTACCTGTTCAATGGATTTAAGATTTAAAAAAAGACGTGTTGCTGCTTGCATGATTCTAGATGGGGGAGCTTGGTTTCATAATGTCCACTCATCAAAATTTGCTGACTTCCTTTTCCATTAGAAGCATCCTTCTTAATGAAAGCTCACGAATCTTAGTTAAAAGGGCTATTCAAGATTTTTTGCAGCATAGCTAGAGCTGTTTACACATTAGAATAATGTTCTAAGGTTTAAATTACTTTGACGTGGACTTGTTGATCTCGGTTGAAATAATATTTTTAATATTTTCCTGGAGATGGCACATCATTCTGAATGGATAACCTGCTCTATCGGTAGTTGGAAGAATATATAGGAAAAGCAATCTATATACATCGATTAGACCTTATGTTGTGTCTGACTACTGAAAATGAAATGTTGTTCAGAAGAAGGCTAAAACCGCAGTGGCAGCCATGCTTTCAAGATCTCGCGAAGATCGCTCTGCTGATGATGACACTCTCACGGAAGAAGAAAAGTGGGAAAGAGAGCAAGCCAACCTTGTTCCATTGTTGACTGGGGGAAAGTTGAAATCTTACCAGATAAAGGGTGTTAAGTGGCTAATATCACTGTGGCAAAATGGGCTTAATGGGATACTGGCTGATCAAATGGGCCTTGGTAAAACAATCCAGACAATTGCATTTCTTGCTCATCTTAAAGGGAATGGTCTGCATGGCCCATACATGGTTATTGCTCCCCTTTCCACCCTGTCAAACTGGTTGAACGAGCTAACGAGGTAAAGCATCCAGAGTTGTGATTCACTGTGCTTAGTCTGTTTGCTATCTTATGTGGAACACTTGATTTCAGGTTTGCTCCATCTATAAATGGTCTGATTTATCATGGAGATAAAGTGGCTCGGACAGAGCTAAGGAGAAAACACATGCCTAAAATTGTTGGTCCTGATTTTCCAATAATAATCACTTCATATGAGATGGCCATGTTTGATGCAAAGTTTCTTGCTAATTATAAGTGGAAGTATGTTGTTGTGGATGAGGTAATGGAATAGCACATGATCTGAATTATTGTCCTTGTATATTATTCTCTCTTTCACATGTATTTATGTGTTGGCCGGATTCTTTTTTCCAGGGGCATCGGCTGAAAAATACCAAGTGCAAATTACTGAGGGAGTTGAGGCGCATCCCAATGGATAACAAGCTTCTTTTGACTGGAACACCTCTTCAGAATAATCTAGCTGAGCTGTGGTCTCTATTGAACTTCATTTTGCCTGATATATTCTCATCCCATGAGGAATTTGAGTCATGGTATGATCCATTGCCTGCAATTTCTGTATGTGCCAGTTTTGTTCATTAGTCTTTGTCTCCTTGAATTACTTTTGTTTCCCATTAACTGATTGCTGTCTCATGGCCTTTTCTTTGCCTTTTATAGTTTTATTGTTGTAATTATATAAGTTACCTGGATTAACCAAATGTAACATCTGTCTAGCTTTCTCACTGCCTGAATGCTGTACTGGTAGTCAGTAAATATATGTATCTAACTGCACATAATGGCATTTGTCAGGATTCTTGGAAGTACCAATACATATAGTGGTTCAGCCAATGCAAACGAAACTGTTAAATTTAATTAGTCGAGATATCAGTTTCTTAGTATACGCTAAATTGTAGTAACCTGGCAGGGACACTGCCCATTTATTAAGAAGAATTTACAAATGGCTGGTCACAATGGTGGCCTTGCGGGCAGAACAATTACAGCCCTCACGGATTACTCCCAAAATTTTAGGGATTACCATAGTCCTCATGCTCCAGAGCAGCCATTTCTGGTTATCCAGCTCTGTATACGGTTGTTCTTTCTTGTAAAATTTGGCTGTGTAGATCCGATAATACTAGACCTACGAAACCTTTTACGTAATGTTACGTTATTTTCTTAACCAACCAATCATCGCCCCCCTGATTTTCATGGGGTGGGCCTGGGCCTTTTCTTTCTTCCAACCAAAACAGGCCAAGTCAGCTTGTTTGTAAGTTACGTAGGAATTTTTACGTAGATGTAGCAAAGCCCGTGTAGATCCTAAGGAGCTTTATTTGATGAGTATCTGCAATAGCAGACACATGTATCGTCTTCCTGGTTTATGTTGCGTACCTGACACTGAAATGCCATGTCTATTAATTTGTGTATTAATTTTCGTCAAGTTTTATCTTGTACTATTTTTATGTTGTCAGTTAATATGTTCGGTTTGCTCAGATGTGTACCGATGGATAAATTAATATGGATAGGTTATTTATAACTATTCAGATAGTCCCTAAACATGTGATGTTCTTGTTATACAGATAGTGATTTTTCTTCCTGAGTACTTTATGTATAATTGTTTTACAGGTTTGATTTTTCTGGGAAGGCTGATGAGGAACTAGAGGAAGAAACTGATGAGAAGAAAAGAGTCCTTGTTGTCTCAAAGCTTCATTCCATTTTGCGCCCATTCCTTTTAAGGCGGATGAAGGAGGATGTAGAACACATGCTTCCACGAAAGAAAGAGATAATCATATATGCTAACATGACAGAACATCAGAAGCAAATCCAGAGTCACTTGATTGAGCAGACATTTGATGACTACTTGCATGAGAGCGCAGATATTGGTATGCATCTCTCATGCATGTCTTCCTGCATACTTATATAGTCCAATCTGTGCAGAGTTAAGTAATATTCTAATGTGACATGTTTCTGCTATATTGTAGTTTTGCGGAGGCCTGGCATCAAGACAAAGCTAAATAATCTACTCATTCAGCTGAGGAAAAATTGTGGCCACCCTGATCTTTTCCATTCTGCCTTTGACTCAAACAGTGCGTCTTATTGGACATGTCCTATTTGCGTGCTCTATTTGATTGTTTTATACCTTTATCTACATTGTCATTTATTTCTTATGTTTGCAGGTCTCTACCCACCTGTTGATAAGCTTCTGGAACAGTGTGGCAAATTCCAGCTGTTGGACAGGTTACTGAATGCTCTAATAAAACGAAATCACAAGGTTGGTGGTTATCTTGTTCCATAGTCTTCATATGCAGTTCAATAGATATGTTTGTGGCACATGGTTCAATGTTTATTTTTCAGCTCTGAAATATAGTTCAATTGATATATTTGTAGGTCCTAATATTTTCGCAATGGACAAAGATTTTGGACATCCTTGACTATTATTTGTCTGAGAAAGGCCTGAAGGTTTGCCGGATTGATGGTAGTGTTAATTTGGAAGTCAGGAGGAGCCAGGTAATGTTGTAGGCCCAATTTATCACATAAAATTGATTCATGGGATGATTACAGTAGACATCACAATACCCTTTGCATACGTGAGACACGTAGCTGACTATATGGAAACTAGCCAATCATATCTTTATTTCAACTTACTTTCCTAATAATACTGTCCTGGTCCGTATAGAATGGATATCCCTATTCGGTTGACTTGTGCCATGTGTGCAAATGCCAATCTAGATCTTGAAGGCGCAATGCTCATTTGCATTATTGTTCTACACAACACGCATCTTGATTTCCTGTTTCTGCACATGAGTAATCTAGCAGCTAGCCTGATGACATCATGTTAATTCAACACATGCACCTGAGTTGGTTCCCGGGTACTGCCATTTTGCCTGGTTGGTTCCTGAATTGTCAGTTTTAAAACTTGATCCCATGTCATATTTTGACAACCTTTTTTTTTGCCAGTACAACATTACTATCGTTTAGTTTCCTGATAATGAGCCACTTAGTTGTCAGTTTAAATTAACTTGGTTGTTGAATTGTAAAATGCTATATATACCACTAGGAAAACTTGCTTCGTGGTACTTCTGGGGATGATGCCACTTTTTCCCTATTCACTTGAAATTCACTCTCTACCCTTACATCACAATACACTGTCCAAAAAACATACAAACATGATATCTGATAACTATGCATAATTATTGTGGCAACTGTTCACTATTAGCATGAACAACTATGTTGACATATGCAACTAAAGGCGACAAAATAATATTGTCGAAACATGACAATATGTTATCATGTTTTGAAGCCCTCGTCGAGACAAACTCGCCGGTGAAAACGGATCACTAATCAGGTTTACGGTTCATGAAATAAATCATTTCATTTTGGACACATTAGATGGGAAATTCTTGCATGCATGCATGTGCTCTCTCTAAAAAATCCCATTGGAATCTCTAAAAAATCCCATTGGAATGGTGCGGCATGGAAAGACCATGGTGCACACTATGCATCTTAGATTTTCCCCTTTTGGTTAGATGCTTATTGTTTTCTGTTGGATAATTGATGGCTCTCCTAGGGTGCTGCTATCTCACTATATATTTGATTTCTTTTTTCTTTGGCAGATAGCAGCGTTTAATGACTTAAACAGTGGTATGAATGTCTTCATTCTCAGCACACGTGCTGGTGGGCTTGGTATCAACCTTACTTCTGCTGATACTTGTATCCTGTATGATAGTGACTGGGTAAGTTTCTATCTATCTGGAGAGTTTGTAGTTTTTAGTAGTCCAGATGAAGTGTAGTCCAGATGAAGTGTAGTCTATCTATCTGTATGATTGTTCTTATGGTTTTATGAAGTGTAGTCCATTAGCATGCCTTGTTTGAATATTTCTTCTCTTCTGTAGTCTTTTTTTTGTAGCCGTGCTCCTTGGTATAATGCTTGCCTTCAGATAGCTTTCATTGCTGTTATAAGCTGAACTTTTTTGGTTTGTTCTGCAGAATCCTCAGATGGATTTGCAGGCCATGGATCGGTGCCACCGTATTGGTCAAACACAGCCAGTTCATGTTTATCGGCTGGCGACATCCAGTTCTGTTGAGGTATGGACGATGGCCTTCGGACACTTGCTTGGCTACATTTTTCAGCATCGACATTCATCTTCTCATTGTTGCAGGGACGGATTATCAAGAAAGCTTTTGGAAAGTTGAAGCTAGAACACGTTGTGATTGGGAAGGGACAGTTCCAGCAAGATGCCGCGAAGCCTAACGCCTTAGATGTAATATAAACATTTCTGCCCGGCCTCCTACTTGTGGAAACTGTTCATTCAGTGATCGAACAGCAAAAGAAAAATAAATACATAAATGACTCTTGTTTTGTCGAAAATGCAGGAGGGGGAGCTACTGGCGCTTCTGAGGGACGAGCAGGCCGAAGAAGACAGGATGATCCAGACGGACATCAGCGACGAGGACCTTCTGAAGGTGATGGACCGCAGCGACCTCACCGGCGCGCGTGCGGCCGCCGATGCCGCCCCGCACTTCCCCCTGAAAGGGCCTGGCTGGGAGGTCGTGGTGGCTGCCGGCGGCGGCATGCTCTCGGCGCTCACCAGCTGAGCCCCGCGCCCGCTCCAGTGACCGGCCTGGCAACGACGACTGACACCTCGGTATTCTGGTGCTCTCCGGCTTTGTTCGTCGCCTGTGTTAAGGCCGATGTTTTTGTGAACATGATGTGGACATGACAACGGTATCCTATCCCCCCTAAAGTAATTATGGGCGACCGGGCGTTGCAGTGTGTACTGCACCCCCTAGATTAGGAGCTGATCGATCCTTTGGCGAGCTGTGTTGTGATGTAACTCGAGCTCGTGCCTTCATCCAAGGCAACCAAGCACCTAGTAGCTATGTAAGACTGTTATGTTGGTAGTCTGTGCTGAAGTAGTCTGGAAATGAGACTGTTACTCCACTATGCAATGCTGTGTTACTTTCTGGTGCGTTTTCTTCTGGGGGCCTCAGCCGCCCAGCCGTTTGCAACATGGCTTCTGTTGTGTTTGGGGTTTGCAACATGAGCCATGCTCAGCTTTGTCCAAAGCGTTTTTTACCTTCGGATCTATGTGTGTCTGCAATAAAGAGGTTTGAAACAGAGGCTGTATTGCACTCGTTCGTCTTGCAACAAGTTGACAGGGTTGATGTGCGTCTCACCCTGGTTGATTTGCAACAAAGCCCATGCCTTGCAAGAAGAGACACGTTGCAAACGAATGTATGGTATGGTAGGTTGTTGCGAGCCGCACAATCAAAAGCTGATCGGTCGGACGGTCGCGGAGACGGGTGGATGTGAGTGTTTGTTTTGCCGTGTCCCCCAGAGAACCCAACACAATAACATTACCACTTCCTTGTTGTATTTTCGGGATATAGTTCTACGTTTAGCCGCGCGTTGTGCTTGGTGGTCCGCGGCAGAAAAAGGCAAAGTGTTGGCGAACACTTGACTGTTAAGAAATGCTGGGCCCTACTTAAAGAATGTTGGGCCCTACCATCAGTAGTATTTTTTGACGGGAACCATCAGTAGCAAGTAAAGGACCGAGGAGATACGGAGTGGGTCCCTCTGGCAGAGCAATCGCCCAAAATACCTCGAGGTGCTGTTGCTTGGTGCTCCCTTGTGCCTTACAAAAGACAAGGCAGCTCTCATCTGAAAAAAGGACTCGTCTATTTTTTTTCAAAAAAAGACACGACAGCTCTGCATTTTATAATATTAATTTGCTGCCTTTAGAACAGAAAAACTGATTTCTTTGATTCGGGTCCGTGTGGCACTGCCGGGCTTTAGTAAGGCACAATAATGCTGAGATTGTGCTTGATGATGATAGTGAAAGGCGATCTGGTGTGACTCGTGGCAAGGAACTGAAGAAACCAAATCGTCTTGCATCACCTCACTCATCACATCTTTATCCAAAAATGGTCTATTAATCCTGAACTCTGCAAGTGTATATACTTCTCCGGAGCTTAGCCGTTGATCTTCCACCCAACCGTGCATCATACCGCTTTGCACCAAGGCAATGATGTATTCGTCGTTGATTCTAGGTCGAGCTGTTGGAATAATTATGCATTTCTGGGATGCCATTAGCAGGAACAGATTGCATCTAGATCACTTAAAAGCATGAACAGAGAAGGGTTTAGCGTATCATTACATGTCACGGCAGTGGACATGATCGCCTGCTCGATGCAGGCGTGATGCAGGGGTGATGTAGTCGAGGTAGAAGTCCTCCTCAACGTCCTGATGCCCTCAGGACGCCACCGGCACTGCCCGGGGACGGTAGCGGCGGCTGGACTAGGTCTTCCAGTCACTGCAGCGCTCCTCCTGATCAGATGGGGTGAGAGAATATCGGAAGGGGAGTGAAACCGTACGAGAATTGTGATCGCGCAGGCTGCCAACCCTCTCCCATTCCCCCTTTTATGTAGCGCTGGCGACAGGGGACCTAAACCATCAATTGGTTTGGGTGCCCCGACTAGGGCGCCTTAGTTGGGATAAAAAGCCCACGTACGTTGGTGCGTGGGGCCTTTTTCATTAACGTTATCTTCCCTTTTTTTCTTAAACTAATAGATCTAACTACCTGTTTAAGCCGTCAGATCAAAACCAACATTCCCCCCTTGATCGTTAGGCTTAACTTCATTCGCCCATTCTACATAGGAATGATGTACCAAAGTGAGGTGTTACAACAGCTCGAAACGCCATAGAACCTCAACACTTATAGCACACCCACCTATTTCGAAATGGAAAACATTTTGCTAATTGGGAAGTGGTTTATTTTAATGGTCCTCTTATTCCAGAATCATCAGGCTTCCAGTAGTCCCATGCCGACAACATGCTCACGAAAAATACTGGGTGGTAAGCCTTTTGTTAGCGGATCCGCAAGCATATGCTTCGTTCTTATATGTTTAACATCAACTGTTTGATCCTGGATTCTATCTTTCACAACACGATACTTTATGTCAATGTGTCTGGCAGCATTACTTGACCTGTTGTTACTCGTATAGAAAACTGCTGGTTCATTACCGCAATACAATAAAATTGGTTTAGATATGTTGTCAATCACTTTAAGTCCGGGAATAAAATTCTTTAGCCATACAGCGTGCCCGGTGGCCTCATAACATGCTACAAATTCTGCTTGCATCGTAGATCCAGCAGTTAACGTTTGTTTGGAGCTTTTCCACGATATAACTCCTCCCGCGAGTGTGAATATATAACCTGACGTGGATCTCATACTATCCACACACCCGACAAAATCAGAGTCTGAATAACCAACAATTTCTAGGTTATCAGTTCTTTTATATGTAAGCATGAAATCCTTAGTTCCTTGCATATAACGCAAGACTTTCTTTGCGGCCTTCCAGTGGTCCGGTCCTGAATTTGATTGGTATCTGCCAAGCATCCCGGTTACAAAACATAAGTCTGGGCGTGTACACACTTGAGCATACATGATGCTTCCAACAGCTGAAGTATAAGGAACCGACTTCATCTGATCAGTTTCACATTGGTTCCTCGGACATTGAAATGTCCCAAACTTATCGCCCTTAACTATAGGAGTAGGTGAGGGTGAGCACTTATGCATATTGAATTTTTTCAGTACTCTCTCAAAGTATGCCTTTTGAGATAGTCCTAACGTTCCTCTGGACCTATCTCGATGAATCTCGACGCCGAGGACATATGAGGCTTCACCAAGATCTTTCATATCAAAACTGGATGACAGAAAATTCTTGGTCTCATGAAGCATATCCTTATCGCTACATGCCAATAATATGTCATCAACGTATAGGACTAAAAATGTGAACCTACTGCCTTTAAACTTAACGTATATGCAGTTGTCCACAACATTTTCGATGAAACCAAAAGTTTTGATAATTTTATCAAACTTGAGGTACCACTCTCTTGAAGCTTGCTTCAAGCCATAAATTGATTTCTTTAGACGACATGCTAAATGTTCCTACCCTTCCACAGCAAAGCCTTCTGGCTGAGCCATGTAAACGTTTTCTTTTAAGTCACCATTTAGAAATGTCGTTTTAACATCCATTTGGTGTAGTTCTAGGTCGCAATGGGCTACTAATGCCATTATGATTCTGAAAGAATCCTTGGTTGACACAGGAGGGAAGGTTTGCTTATAATCAATGCCTTCTCTCTGTGTATACCCTTTTGCCACTAGCCTTGCCTTGAACCGTTCGACATTCCCTTTGGAATCATACTTGGTTTTGTAGACCCACTTGCAGCCTACTTTCTTAGCTCCATCGGGAACTTCTACTAAGTCCCATACGTCGTTTAAGCCCATAGATTTCAACTCGTCTTCCATGGTAACCAACCATTTGGACGAATTTTCGCTTTTAATGGCTTCCTTATATGAGGTTGGATCCTCCACCTTTCCCACATCATTCATGTCCTCCATCAGAAAAGTGATATAATCATCTGATATGGCTTTCTTCCTCTCACGCCGTGGTCTACCCATGGGCGGAGGTGGTGGTGGAACATCATCATTTTCATTATTTTCTTGGAGATCCTCATTTGTGTTTGGATTCTCATTATTAGTTTCTGGATCACCATTCAACTGAGAGACTGAACTGTGAGATTCAGGATCATCAGATGTCACATTTCTTCGTATTGAAAAAACAATCTCTTGGATAGTCGGGGATGGCACACAAACCCGCTTCTCCTCAAGATCAATCTCCCTTAAATTTGTGACCTCATTATCCTGAAAAAATACCACCTGTCTAGTCTCCACAAACTTGGTGGTGTGACTTGGACAATAAAAATGATATCCCTTTCCCCTATGAGGGTATCCAACGAAGAAACATCTAACTGTTTTTGGATCCAATTTCTTAAGTTGTGGATTGAAAACTTTAGCTTCAGCAGGGCAACCCCACACTCGTAAGTAATTCAAGCTCGGTTTCTTTCCCGCCCACATCTCATAAGGTGTGTTCGGTGCTGACTTAGTTGGAGCAAGATTTAGTATGTGTGCAGCTGTCTTTAATGCCTCTATTCAAAGGTTTACTGGTAAACTAGAGTGACTAAGCATGCTTCGCACCATATCCATAAGGGTGCGGTTGCGGCGCTTGGCCACACCATTTTGTTGTGGTTCACCAGGCATTGAGTACTGAGCAATGATTCCATTTTCAGATAAGAACTTGGCAAAAGGTCTAGGAATCTGCCCATAAGGAGCATGCCTACCATAATACTCTCCCCCGCGATCAGACCATACAACTTTGATTTTTTGCATTCAGTTGATTTTCAACCTCCGCTTTATAGACTTTGAATTTCTCCAAAGCTTCCGATCAGTCACGTATGGGATAAATATACCCATAGCGGGAAAAGTCGTCTGTGAATGTAATGCATGAATCAAAACCATCTACAGACTTAACATTAAGGGGTCCACATATGTCGGTGTGAATTAATTCTTAAACCCCTATGGCTCTTACTGCTCCTTTCTTAATTGTTTTTGTGAATTTTCCTTTAATGCAGTCGACACATTTGTCTGCATCTGAGAAGTCTAATGGGAGGAGTATTTCATTTTTAACTAAGCATTCCATTCTCCCCCTCGAAATGTGGCCCAAACGACAATGCCACAATTTCGAAGAATTAC